CTTGAACTCAACTAAAGTCTTCGTTTTCGCCATCTGAAATCATCTCTTTTATTTAACTCTAATTTAACTTTGGCTACAGTCCCTGTGGACGATAACCCGGTACTTGTACCACTTATTACTTGGAAAAGACGACGTTGGGCCGTATTGTATACTTGCTTTTCGACCCAATTTCATTAGTCTAGAGGTGTGGAATATAACACCCCAACAAAGTTCTTCCAAAGAAGATGTCTAAAAAGATGGTAAATGCTGTCAAGGCACAGGCTAAGCTACTTTCTATTATTGAAGACATCATCAGTGAGTTGATCAAGAAGATGTCAAAATATATCGATGTACCTGAAAATCCATCACTAAAGAAAGGTGGAAGAAGAAAACCTTCAAGTTCTAATGACGGACCAATCCTGAGGAATGAACATGAAACAAAGTTCTCCTTAGACGAAGTCCTGAAGGATTCGAAGAAGCCAGACATCTCAATGCTAAACCTCTCCTTGCCAGAGAAGGGTCCTTACATACCCAACACGGTGCACTTCAAGCTTGAGTTAGGAATTATTTTTTTTGACTATGAAGGTGAACACAGCTTCCAAAGAGTGTCTGAGCTACATCTTTGTCCGATGGAACATCTCGTGTATATCAGATTTTGGCTGGACAATGATTTACTTGGTGAAATGATAGACCGCAAGATATGAAGAGAACTTTTACGTCGAAAGGAGCTCGGAGAAGAAGTACCTGGCTACATCAACCTGAGCGACTTAGATTACTTATAAAATTCTGTCTTGTAACTTTTTCTTTCACTATATGACCTTTTGTATCTAGGTCTTTACTTTTAGTGTATAACTTATATTTTGTAAGGCTAGAAATGTACTAACTGCTTGTAATTTTTCCTTTTGAATGAATATAAGTATTTCATCAGCTTCAAAAAAAAAAGATCCCTGGAAAGAGTAATAGAGACACATGTCTATGAGTTCCAGTATTCTCTTACAGTCACTGACAATCTCTAAGTCAGTGAATATGCTTTCAGTTTCAGTTTCCCTTCTTGTACTTTTTCTTAAACTTGTAAACTAAGAAAATTTATAAAGTAAAAACTGACTCACTGAAAAAGATCCCAAAATAGTTAAAAGGGACATGTACTTTATACATAACTTTTCTTTACTATTATTTGATAAGTCAACTTTCTTTATATTGCTTTGTTATCATTAAATAGGGGGAGATTGTTGATCCTCTTTCTCATTGATTTGATGATAATCCCTTTTACCTTTCGAAGTATTATATTTTTGTTCTTTCAGTTCCAGCGATCATCACTGAGTCTTTTCAGTAATCGTTGAAACATGTATTATAAATCCTACAGCGACAACGATACTTCAAGAAGACAAAACTCACACCATAGAACCTTCAGTGAAAATCAAAGACTGACGCTGAAGATTAGAGACTGGCGCGTTCGTGAGTTGAAGCGAATTTCAGTGATTACAACCTGGTCAACATATGTGTGAAGACTGTCGAAGCCTTAGCGAATGCAAAAGAAACCTTCAGTGTTATTCCAACATTCAGCGATCAAATGAAGCTTGTTGTGCAAGACTGTTCTTGTCTTGTCCTTCCACACACAAAGGACAAACCCATACCCTTTCAAGAGTGTAGTACTGTACGGAGCCGACTAGTTGACTCTAGTGCCCACCAACTCCATGAAAGGATGTCTACTCATGAATAGACAATTGTACTATTCGCTATAGCAAAGGACAAGCTTTCCTATAAAAGCTTGACACGTGTTCAAACCCTTCTGAATTGCATTTAATGCAATGGGTATAAATAGATTAGTGCTCTCTCCATGCAGAGAACACGCATATACCCACATATCTAAAAGAACACTTACGTTTATCTTCAAGCAATTTAGAATCCCTCTCAAGTATTATAAAAAGTTATTACCCAGAAGAACTTCTTTTTGTCTTTATCTTTCAACAAATCTTTTCTATTTTGCTAAGTATATCTGTATGTAAACTTAGATTGTTTTATATTGGTTATCTTTACCTTGTCTATTTTCGCATACAATCTGCAAAAATCTCTATTAATCTTTCTTTATCGATATATATTTTTAAATACAAAAGTTTTCTGTGTTTGTATTCATCCCCCCCTCTACAAACTGTTCGTCTAAAACTCTTGTAGACCCGGCTGGGACCAACAGATTGCTAGGAAAAAGTAAGACCAAGACTCTAGGCATTCTGGACCTATCTTGCTCAACATAGTCAAATAAAGCTATTATAAGACCAGTTCCTCCTTATGTGCCTTTTCCCCAAAGGTTAAGGAATCAAAAGAAAGAACTAAAATTTAAGAAACTTTTGGAAGCATTTAAAGCATTGCATATCAACATACCTCTTGTTGAAGTAATTGAGTAAATGCCCAGTTATGCCAAGTTCCTCAAAGACATCTTAAGTAAGAAGAAAAAACTAACTGAGTATGAAACCGTAGCTTTTACTGAAGGATGTAATGCACTTCTGACCAACAAGATACCTCCTAAGCTTAAGGACCCAAGAAGTTTCAATATTCCTTGTTCTATAAGTGGAAAGGAGATTGGAAAAGCTTTATGTGATTTATGTGCTAGTATTAACCTAATGCCCTTGTCTGTTTTCAACACCTTAGGCATAGGAGAGGCTAGATCTACCACTGTCACACTGCAATTAGCCAACAAAATCATTGCTCATCCAAAAGGGAAGATTGAGGATATGTTAGTTCAAGTTGACAAGTTCATATTTCTAGTTGATTTCATCATTCTAGATTTTGAGGCTGATAGAGATATTCCTATCATTTTAAGAAGATCATTCTTAGCCACCGGCGAAACTTTAGTTGATGGCCAAAAAGGAGAACTAACTATGAGGCTTCAAGACCAGAAAGTCACATTCAATGTCTTTAACTTCTTAAAGTACCCTGATTACTTGGAGGAATGCTCAGGAGATAGAGACAATGTGTCATGAGGAAGAAATTAGAAAGATCTATAAGTTGGAGGAAGAGGATAGTTTTGAAATAGATGAAGCGATTGTTGAGAAGTTAGATTTAAGAGAAAATGATAATACCCCATGTGAGATAACAACATTTAAGTTGTTGGAAAATAGTGAGCAAAAGATTTTACCCCGTCCATAATATGACCACCTGACCTAGAGTTGAAGCAACTCCCATCTCATTTGAAGTATGATTTTCAAAGATAAGAAGGTAAATTGTCTGTCATCATATCATCTAACCTATATTTGCATTAAAAAAAGAAGCTTGTAGATATCTCGAAGTTGCACACAAAAGTTATAGGATGAACCGTTATTGACCTTAAAGGGATTAGTCCCTCTACTTGTCAACATAAGATTATCCTAGATGAGAAGAACTTCAAGTCTATAGAGCCTCAAAGAAGATTAAATCCTTTCATGAAAGAGGTAGTGAGAAAGTAAATTTTGAAATGGTTAGATGCGGAAACTATTTTCCCAATAGCCGGTAGTTATTGGGTTAGTACAATCCAATGTATCCCAAAGAAGGGAGGATTTACAGTTGTCACCAATGACAAAAATGAACTCATTTCCACTAGAATAGTATCCGGATGGAGAATATGCGTGGACTACCATAGGATAAACAAAGCCACCCCAAATGACCATTTTCCATTATCTTTTATTGATCAAATGTTGGATAGGTTAGCCAGAAAGGAATATTATTGTCTCTTGGATGGATACTCAGGATATAATCAGATAGCCATATCGTCTGAGGACCAAGAAAAGACAACCTTCATTTGTCCCTATGGTACTTTTGTCTTTAGAAGAATGTCATTTGAACTTTGCATTGCTCCTGCAACTTTTCATAGACGCATGATGTCCATATTCTCTAACATGCTTGAAGCATTGTCAAAGGAATAAGAAGCTTTCTTGATCATGTTGGGTTCTATAAAAGGTTTATCAAAGATTTTTCAAAAATCTCAAAACCCTTATGTTTACTTTTGCAGCATGACTATAAATTTGATTTCACTGACGAATGTAGAAATGCATTCAACACTTTGAAGAAAGCTTTAGTAACTGCATCAATAGTTGTTGCTCCTCACTGAAATAAACCTTTTGAAATCATTTGTCATGCCAGTGATTGGGTTGTAGGAGCTTTCCTTGTTCAAAGAAAGAGAATTTTTCATTCAATTTATTATGCAAGTAAAACTTTTTAATGAAGCACAAATTAAGTACATAACAACTGAAAAAGAATTATTAGTTGTGGTTTTTGTCTTTGAGAGATATAAATCATATTTTATGGGAACAAAAGTCACTGTACACATTGACCATGCTACCATCAAGTATTGGTATCTAAAAAAGATGCTAAACTTAGGCTAACAAGATGAATTTTCTTGTTGCAAGAGTTTGACCTCGAGATAGTGGACAAAAAAGTAGTGGACAACCAAGCTGCAACTCATTTGTTTAGACTAGAGAAGCCTAGTGAGGACAAGGAAGAAGGAGACATCATTTGAATCCTTCCCTGATGAAAGAATTATTGTGCTACATTCAAAGTCACCATGGGTTGCTGACATAGCAAATTATTTGGCTTATGGCATAAAACCTTCTGATTATAATGGCCATATGCTTAAGAAGTTTCTCCATGATACCCAATATTATCTTTGAGATGATCCTTATTTGTTTAAAATTAGTGCAAATCAAATTTTAAGAAGATGCATCCCAGAAACTGAAGTGGCAACAATTATGCAGCATTGCCACCAAGCAACATATAGAGGACAATCTGGAGGCCAAGGAAAAACAACTAAGGTTTTACAATATGGTTTTTATTGGCCACCTCTATTCAAAGATGTCCACAATTTTTTACAAAGATGCAATGAGTGCCAAAAAAGTGGTTCCATTTCCAAAAGGAATGAAATGCCACTAAACAGGATCTTAGAAGTAGAGTCGTTTGATGTCTGGGGAATAGATTTCATGGGACCATTTTCCTCATCAAATAATTGTTAATACATTATAGTTGTTGTTGATTATGTGTCAAAATGGGTAAAGGATATCGCTTGTGTTGCTAATGACGCTAAAATTGTGCTTAAATTCCTTCAGAAGCAGATTTTTACAAGGTTTGGTACCCCCAAGGCACTAATCAGTGATGAGGGTACCCACTTTGTAAATAACATGTTAAGTGTAGTCCTTGTAAAATACAACATTAACCATAAGATTGCAAATTCCTACCACCCACAAACAAATGGATTAGCTGAACTCTCAAACAAAGAAATAAAGGGAATCTCATAAAAGGTTGTCAAGCCAAACAAAAAAGATTGGGTTTTCAATTAGATGACGCTTTATGGGCTTATAAGACTTCTATTAAAACACCAAATGATATATCCCCATACAATTTGGTCTTTGGTAAGGCTTGTCACCTCCATTTAGAACTAGAACACAAAGCATTTTGGGTCGTCAAAGAATTAAATATGTGTCCAATTACTGCTGGCAATAGAAGAAAGTTCCAACTTTGTGAGTTCGAACAACATAGGAACCTATCCTATGAAAATGCCAAGATCTATAAAGAAAAAACAAAGAAATGGCATGACAAAAGAATCCAGCAAAGAGAACTGAGAGCATGTCAACAAAACCTCTTGTTGAACTCAAGGTTAAAATTGTTCCCAGAAAAGTTCAAGTCCCGATGGTCTGGACTATTCCTTATTCATAAAGTCCATTCATATGGAGCAATTGACATAGTTAATCCAAATGAAATTTCTTTGTTCAAAGCCAACGGTCAATGAGTAAAGTTGTTTCATGATCTGCTAGAAATTCCAGAGCACTGCTCTGTGGATTTCACTACCATTTGCTAAAAAGCTTTAAAAAGTTTGTGGACTCTTTGTAGTCCAAAGGTTACTTTGTAAATAATTTATCTGCACAATATACGTTTTTGCTTAATTAGAATAAAAAGTTATTTTAAACGTGTTTGTTGTGTTTTTACAGCCTTGTTCAATGAAAAAAAAGTAAATACTGGAATCTTGTTGCAGCACTAGAAACCCTTGTCCTTGATCAAGAAATTCAAATTTTTGAGAAATTGAAAATATCCAGATTTTGGGAAGGGTGAGGCCAAAGAGTACAAATGATGTCATGCTTGCAAAACCTGAAAAAGTAGACATTTTTCTACTTTTACAAAGGCATGATGGTACCTATGATGGTACCCTTTGTTACCAACTTTTCAAACCTCTTCTAAGGGCCTTATCAAGAGTTTGGCTTCCCCATGAAAACCCTTTATCTGCTGGTTAATAACCAAATAGAGGTTCCATCCAAGTACATCCATTTGCTTAATCCTATGCTTACATCATAAGCCATCACCTAAATACCTTCTTAATCCCCAAAATACCCCTTTGTTATTCTCTAAACTCTGAACTTTAAGAAACCCCTTTGTTTTTCAAAAACCCAATTCTCTTTTTCTTTCCCTCTCAAAACCAATTAATGCTTCTCCTTCACAACTGACCACTGCTTCCTCCTCTTCCACGCTCACACGAACTGCCAAGGTCAAGGTAAAAAGGGAGATGGTACGTGATCCTCAACCATCACAACCGACGGAGCAAGCGCCAATGTAACCACTAGAACCACCAACACCGACAACCTTTGTTCGAGCACCTCCAGCAAGAAAGCAGCCTGCTCGACGAAGAAAGAAGTCACTGCCGATGAAAAAGAAAGGAGAAGCCTCGACTGTGGTCATCGAATATGACCAAACACCACCATCAACAGCAGCTGATACTTCTACACTTGAAGAATCACCCATTGATGCTTCCACAATTCGAATGGTAAAACCCTCTGTTTTGGTACCATATATCGAACCTGTTAAAAAGCCAAGGAAAAAGTTGATTTTCGATGGCAAAATCTACTGTGAAGAAAGCTCCTCAATCAACCATTCCATCTACAGTCACTGAAGCCACTGAGAGCACATCCAAGGTACACTTCTTGTCTGATCACCTACCCCCTGATAGGTTGTTCACCGTTGACTTTGAGGAGAAAGAAAAGGAAAATGTTGCAAAAACACAACCAGGGGACAATGTCAATATGTTTTGTGATAATGAGGGTTGTGATTTGGAGAATATCACCATTCTTGAAAAACTCAGAGCACCCCTACTGTTGACTGCCTCTAGGGAGAAAACATGGGATGATGAAATGCACCATTTCAGTCCTCATGATCCTATTCCTGACCTAAATGAGGAGTTCTTTGAGGAAGATGAACCCTTTATTGTTGTGCCAACCAAGAAAAAAAGAAACTAGGAAAAGTCCATGCTAAAAAGACTAAGCTTGTGGATTAGGGACCTTCTAGGAAAAAAATTAGATGAGGAAAGGAAAAGGTTGTGGAAACTCCCATTGAGTCACCCTTACACTTAGACAATAGTGCTACAGGATCTCTGTAGTATTCATCTAGACCAAAAAGAAAGAGGGGAGGGAAAGGCCAAAAGCCAACCACCATCCCTAGACCCGTTAGAGCATACAGTAGGTTCAGTTTAAAGGCTACTGAGAAGATGATTGCTAGGTTCCAAAATAGGGTCGGTTTGCCTGATAAGGGATTTGATAGACAGAGTATAAGAGAATACTACTTCATTAGGGAAGTAGTTGAAGCCCATGGGATGGAAAAGCTATGTGCAGTCCCAACATCTTACAATTTGACACTGGTAAGAGAGTTCTATGATGAATTGTCAACCAATAACACCTCCAAGATCAAGATTAGGGGTGTTTATATCACATTCACTTCAAAAAGAGTCAACCGACTCTATGACCTTAACTGCCCCTAAGAAGAAGGATTACTCCAGGTTGTTAACTAATGCCACAATGGATAATTTGATTGAAGTGGCAGATGCAATAGGCAAGCCTGGGGTTGGGGTTGAATGGAAAGAACATTCTAATTTCATGCTTAGGAATTTTAAAGCCTACAACCTCACTGCTACTGCTAAGCTACTGCTAATGTATGGATCAATTTTTTAAGGCATTCCATTGCACCTACCACT